TTTATTGATAAAATCCATAGCGAAATGGGTTTTTTTGCTTCGCTTTTTTCGTTCAGTTTGTTGAAAATATTTTGAAAGTTGAACGTAATTTTTATCAGTCAATCTCAGCCTTTCTTAAATTATTTGTTGTTGTTGTGTTTTAATAAAACGCCCATATCACAACCCATATTGCCTGATAGGATAAGACACATTTAAAATTTGGGCAGTTAGAGCTTGGGATAGTCATCGAAAGATAGATAACTTTAATATCTCTGGAAATATACAAATCATTCAGATATATTGATATGTTCATTATTAAATTCTTCATCAATATATGTTATGACAGATCTGCGATCAATATGCCCAACTATCACATTAATATGATAGTCAATAATTTTGATTTAGTTAGCATGTCACCAGATCTTCTACGAGTATTATTATACACACCTATTTGCTTAATGTTAGAAACTTTTACACAGTTTTTGTCAAACTGCAATAAATTTCATTATTCCATATTGATATAATTTTTGTAGGTTTTCGTATATGAATTTAATTTCGAATAATATACAATTATTGACTTTTTATGAGGTTGATATAATGATTTATCAACCCCAGAGATATGATATTCACCAAGGCCAACGACCGAGGGTGAATGTCATATCTCTGGGCTTGATAAATCATTGTACAAATGTATCAACTGAAATCAAAAGTCAACAATTGTTTTATTATATCACTTTTATCCTTCTCCAATTTTCTAGTAATTGCTCAAGATACTTTTAAAACTGCTCCCTGTTTTATACTAAATATATCATCTGCTGTTGCAGTTGCTAATTTTCATTAGTTGAAATATTCAATAAAGTTTACTAAAACAAAATACACCGAAAATATTACGAAGAGAAAAAATACACCGAAAACAAGACGAAAAAGAAAAAAAACCCAGAAATTTAGATGACGTCATAAACCTATGCCATTGACGTTGCCTTGGAATATCTATATTTAGGTACACGGACGTTGTTCCAAATCTTATATTAACCTCTCGTGAGTTTTGCCGCGGTGAATATAATGTTTTATCAAAGAGGATTTTCTATGCTTTTATAAGAAAACAAAAAAATTATAGTCATAAAATTATAAAACATCATATTCACCTGAAGAAAAGTGATGTTCACCGCGCTAAACGTCACGTGCTTTTATATGTAACGTTAGTATGGTCAAATGTTTGATGTAAAATCGCTTTTGGTAAATAATTGTAATTCATTATTATCTCTCGGAAAATGGAATAACACAATTACAGTAACTGTCTTTTTTGTTCCGGTAAATATGTGGTTTTATTGACCTTTGAAACATTGATATTCACTGAGGCCAACGACAAAGCAAGTGAATATCAGTTTTTTTTTCAAAAGTCAAATTAACCACATATTTACCTTATCAAAAGACAGTGATATATATTATTTCATGCTCATGAACTGCATTTTGAATAGAACAGCATATTCACCAGAAGAAAAGTGATAGTCCTCGCGCTAAACGTTACTTGATTCTACATGTACATGCATAGTTATGGTAAAATGGTAAATTTTTATTAACAGTTTTTTTTTTCTCTTGGAATATGGAATACAACAATTATTGTCGTTTGTTTCGGTAATATATGGCTAAATTGACTTTTGAAAAAAAAACTGATATTCAATTTATCTTCAGTGAATATCAGTTATTCAAACGTCAATAAAACCACATATTTACCTCACAAAAGACAGTAATTGTAAAACGCTTCATAATACGCTTTTATTTTGGGTTTTATGGGTTATATTTAGTAATAAGAACTTAAAGAATTTTTTTTTCTTTTAAATTTCCAAACTGCAATTATTAAAATCATCTGTAATACTACATTATCATGATGATCATGGTCGGAGTAGCAGGGGGAGGAGGAGGAGGGTGACGATGATGACTATGACGAGGATGATTTTAACGACAACGACGACTATGATGATGTGATGATGATGATGAAAAGTACTATCTCTATGAGTTAATGAAATGTAATTAGTGATCATAATAAAATAATTCAACATTTAGACATCTTATTTATCTAGGCGACGGTTTGTTGATATCTGCATGATGGAAAGAAATGGGAACGGAATAGACGACTTTTGACCCCAGGCTTCCATTTTGAAATACTCAAACCATACGTGAAAGTATATAACAGTGTTACGGATGTGTTTCTTGTAAGTATAGCAGTATTATGGGATATTATACGGCATATTTGTTACAAATGTTAGTTAAAAAAAACATGCTACACAGAAGGCGTGCCATTTGAATACTTGAGTTTCTTATTGACAACCTGTTTATTGAATTGTTCTGTAAGTTGTCGGTACTCATACGGAAACCAACTGTGTGCATTTCCTTGCTAGCCTGGCCTTATATTCACATGAGTCGGAGTTCAATTAGACGCTAATATAAACAAAAAGATAGAAGGAGCTAGGACCTTTAATTTCACATATACACGTAAATACTGATATTGATGATGTTCTTTCCATTAACAATCCAATTCTGATTGGGTTCTATTTATATAAATTAATGATCAAAATATTAAAGAACCCAACAGAAATATAATTTTATATGCGTATTTTGATTGCCCTTATGTGTGAATAAGTTCAGGGGGAAGGTGCCCTTCCTCTTTGACTCTCCTTTGACAATGACTAGCAAACATTTATAATTCAACCATAAAAACAAAGTTCACCGAAAGACTACACAAGCATAGGAAAAAAAACCAACCACTGATTAGTATCTAGAGTTTGAAGATACATATGGGCACGTAGAGGCGGTTTAACCTAGTTTCACGAGACCCAATCCCTCTTTTAGCATTGAAAAGAATAATATCAAGTGGTTCAAAGACAATAAAACAAAAATTAGTACCAAAATGAAAATAAGCTCTATAGCAACGGTATAAAAAATGTTAAAACGCATGTAAAAGTAAAATAGTAACCAACAACATTGTATTGATCAATGCTCTCACTAACTGTAGTTTAAAAATCGTGTTTTCCTTACCTTTTTTCTTCCCTTGATGCAACAGATCTTAAAATCGTTAACAAATCATTCCATGGATAATAAAAACCACAAGTCAAACAAAAACAGTTGTAAATGTAGTTTTTGACCGTTATGGAATATCCGTTTCTCAGATGATAGCGGATAGCGGATATGTTCCTAATGTCGGAACTTCAATCCCGTCACCTTTTCACGAATGTGACCTACCGAATTAGGCTTATTACCGGGTTTTTACTTACATGTACAACACGGCGGATGCCACATGTGGAGCAGGATATGCTTACTCTTGCGGAGCACCTGATATCACACCCAGTTTTAGGTGGGGTTTGTGTTGCTCAGTCTTCTGTTTTCTATGTTGTGTTTTGTGTACTATTTTTTGTCTGTTGTTCTTTTTCTTTTTAGCCATGGCGTTGTCAGTTTATTTTCGACTTATGAGTTTAAATGTCCCTCTGATATCTTTCGCATCTCTTGTAGAACAAAATGGTTAACTAGCTATCGGTTTACATTGTAACCGATGTAAAATTAGAAAATTCTTTACCGGTAAATATCTTACTTCTATTGCATAATTCAATAGGAAAAACTAAAAGTGAATGCCAAGAGTGGCGAGGCAGTTGACATTTTCCCGCATGTAGCGCTAGCAACATTATACACTATATTAAAAAAGAGGGGCGAAAGATACCAGAGGGACAGGCAAACTCATAGATCGAAAATAAACTGACAACGCCATGGCTAAAAAATAAAAAGACAAACAGACAAACAACAGTACATAAGACACAACATAGAAAACTAAAGACTAAGCAACACGAACCCCACCAAAACTGGGGTGATCACAGGTGCTCAGGAAGGGTAAGCAGATCCTGCTCCACATGTGGCACCCGTCGTGTTGCGCATGTTATTACAAACACGGTAAATAGTCTAATTCGGTAGGTCACATTCGTGAAAAGGGAAGGGGACTCTGGGATAACAAAAGATTAAACAAACGATTTGATATAAACTGACAACATTTAACAAAAAACAATTATGCAAAACGTCAACCAACAACAACCACTGTACTACAGGTTCCTTACTCGGAGAGGCACATACAGAATGTGATGGTTTATAACATGTTTTTACATCAATCAGGAAGTTGGTATCCTCGCTAGAACTGTCTGTCGTTTCAGTTTTTAAAGCTTATTATATGGTATGGGTTTTGTTCATTTTTGAAGGTTGTACGGTGAATTATTGCTGTTTGCATCTACGTCAATTGGTGTTAGGTGGATAGAAATCTTATTTTTTATATTTTTAGCACCCGAACATCATCCTACCTGGGGCAGTGGTTTAATAGCATAACATTAAAAAAAGAGAGTTAAAAAGGGCTTTTCACTTGAGACCAGTACAAAGTACAAAACTTCAAACAAAATGACAAAAACCGAAAGTATATAAGAGAGATTGACAAGACGTATACATGTCATAATTATGTCCGCAATGTTTAATATAATTGTGGAGCATTATGCGGTATAACTATGTATGGACATATTGAAAAAAGTGCCAATATTGGTAGTATTTGGTACCGGTAAAGGCATGCGATTAAAGGTAGTACGGTGACATGTAGTTGCTAACCTTCAAAGTCATTAGTTCTCAAGTGGAGAGTTATCACATTGACACTCTTACCGTATCTTCTTATTTTCTTATCTAAATACCCGTATATATACGTGCACATTTGATATAGTTACCAAATAAATTATATCCACGTATGTATTAATAATACAACGGTTTCGACAAAACACGAAACACAATATTTATCAAAATTATTCGCTTATGTATTTTTACGCGTTGTTGTTCCCCACCAGTGACATAGATGACCTCTTATACACTATGCGTATGATAAATGAACTAGTCATTCAATTTGTTTACACTAAAGTGTGTGTCCGTCAGCTGTCGAAATAAAACAACATATCAAGGTATAATCTAAATATAAATAGGTTTTTATCTAAATATATTGTGTGTTAACCGATAAATTTCAAGTAGGCAAAGCAAGGATTTATAACTAATATATATACGTTATTGTGCAAATATCTGGAGGAATCAAGATGGCCAGGTAAAAAGGTAGGTCTATTAAACATGTTAAATATACTCTTTTCTTCGGACCATAATGTTTTGTCGATAGAGTTTATTCTTTCAAATTATTATTTTGACACCAATTTAAGTTGTCATTTACTGGTGCTTAAATCACGAAAGGTCAACTTCCCTGCATGGTCAACTGACATTACAAGTTTATAGAACTAAATTAATGTGTTTATCATTTCTGAATCAAGAAAGAAATGTTAAATGATACGTTGATTTGATACTATATTCATAGGTTGGTTTTCGGGACATTTAGATTAAATACTAGCCAATAAAAACATGAAAAAGAAATCACACATATGTTCAATCCCGCCATATTTTAAATGTGTCTAACTCAATTTAGGAGCCTGTATTTCAGATGGTGTCGCTAGTGGCTTTTTGTTAATTCTGTTTCGTACATTATTTTGTTTATTGTTAGGCCGTTGCTTTTTTCGTTTGACTTGTTTCAAATTTCGTATCGATCGTTAGGACCTTTTAATGCTAAATAAACGCTATGCATTTTGTTCTTCATTGTTGCTGTCAGTTATCATGGTTAGGTGACCTAGCAGTATTGCTTTAAATTCGATTCTGCTCTTTAATTTAAAGGATTTAATTGGTCCATTTTTGGTAATGGCATCCCTACAGTATGTATAAAGTAAAATAACAAAAAACCGAACTCCGATGGAAATTCTAAACGGAAAGTCCTTTATAAAATGGCAAAATCAAAAGCTCAAACACATCTAACGAATGGAAACAACAATCATATTCCTGACTTGGCACATGCATTTCATGTATCTCACTGTTGTTAATTTAAGATCATCACTTTAGAAAATCGATTTTTAAAACAACGAAACAAGCCGTCTTTTTAAGCTCAAGCTCAGGTTATAAGAATACATATATTCTAGTTCTCATATCCACGTGAGATTCTATCCTCTTGACATTACATTACCGAATGTGACTTATCCCCGAAATTTTACTTTCCATGAACAACACGACTGGTTCGAATTGTGAGACAGGAACTGTTTCCCTTCTTCTGGAGCTGTCTAGTTTACCACGGTTTTGATGGCGGGATCATATTACTCGCTCTTTAGTTGTTTTTTTTGTAGCATATAACGAACTGTTGTTTGTCTTTTCATTGTTTTGCTTTTTGGTCATGACACTGTCTAATAAAAAAAAGTTTTTCAACATGAAACAACAAAGAACAACATATGGTTCAGATAAAGTAGCCTTATTTTTGTAAACACAAAATGTGCTAGGGTTAATCAAGTTCAAAATGCGCACATTCATTAATCAGGTCTGTTTTACGTCATACGAATGTTGGTTTTTTCTATTGCCCCTCGGTATCTTCCCCTTCTCAATCCCTATGAATTAATAATGTACATTTTTGTCGAGCCTTCGACTTTAGTCGAAAAAGCGAGACATAGCGATCCTACATTCCGTCGGCGTCGTCGTCGTCGTTGTCGTCGTCGGCGGCGTCCACAAATATTCACTCTGTGGTTAAAGTTTTTGAAATTTTAATAACTTTCTTAAACTATCCAAACTTGGACAGAAGCTTCTTACAATCAAAAGATAGTACATGTATCAAGAGGAATATTTTTATTGATTTACTTCCTCATTTTTGTTGAGCCTGCGATTAACAGAAAAAGTAGGCGAGACACTGGGTTCCGCGGAACCCTTACGAATTTTTGTTATCCCTTGGTGAGATAGTTATAAAAATATGATCCCGTTTTCAGGCTAGCGGTAAACATGGTTAAGAGATGCGTTCAAGTACGATGCAACTAGCCTCTATAAACGTATTCAGTATTAAGAATAAACAATTACAAAAATAAAAATAAAATTAATGAAAATTGAAATTCCGGGGGACTTGCTTTTACGGCAATTTTAGTTCTTTGTATTTCATATACTTTATTTAATGTATTTCATACATATACATCTACCTGAACATAAACAACTAACACACACAAAAAAAAACAATACTCAATTGTATTAGCATCTTTTGCAAAAACTTTTATAAATATTCTATTTCATATTTTCTTTTAATATTTTTGTCACAAAAAAAGGAAGAAATTAACAGTCTTTGTAATAAGATGGTATTCTTAAATAATATGTATTGCAAAATAAGGGGAAATGATTCTTATTTAATTGATATCAATAGAACAACTTTGTTACAGTGAGTAAGTGAATTTGAGTAAATATCACTTAAAAGATTTATTTGATTCGTTACCACTTCTCATTAATGTGGTATAAAATTTGACATCATTATCCTCAGTAGCCTCCCCTGATCACTGCAATAATGAATGATGTTTGAATTATCAGAAACATAGTATGTACTGTCAGATTATTCAACCCATCTTGTATGGGAAATGATTTGTAAAGGCGTTGCCTTTTGCACAATCCATTTGTTTAAATGTATGTTTGATTTTTTGAACAAATAAAATATTTTGAATTGAAAACATGAACATCAAATTTCAGCAATGGTTTTCAGTACTAACATATCCATAGCTTTGCTTGTTATCGTCATTACGTATCTACTATGGAGAATCAGAGCATTTATAATCAGATACAGACAGTGGCGAACAGCAACATATGGACAAAGTATTACAATTCTTGGTCCGCTTCATCCTATATGGGGCACTCTTCATTTGGTATGTACAACTGTATTAAAGAAGACTAAAAATAAAGTAAAACAAATAACTACTAAATATGAATAAAACGAGATGCGGAGTACAGTATATGTCAATGAGACAGCAATCCATTAACAAATTTTAGCGAATACATCTAAAAGTCAACATACCGTCTACAAAAACAGACAAGTCCAAATACGATATTTCATGTTTTAAATCGCCAAGAGTGTGTTAACAATGATATGACTTAGATACATGAATTATCCATCCGACCCCCCCCCCCCCCCCCACAAAAGAATAAAAATCTTCCAATCACGACTTACCTCATATGTAATAAATATACAGTCCGCCAAAAGTTAAGCACCACCTATCTTTGTTGCATCGAAATTTTTTTCATTTAAAAAAACCAGTTAATTCTCGAAAAAAGAGAAAATATTCATGTAGCAATTTTGCTAACATATGCCATAAACAAACCATAAACTTAAGTTTGGTCACTGATGCAGGTTCTATGCGTTTGAATTTTGCGTTCATAGAAATAGTGAAAATTACACAAATCAGAAACGGAATTTAAGTTTTACTTTGATTTTATTTTTTTACAACAATTAATCACCCAAAATCATTAAAATTCCTACAAATAATCTTTGGTATGTTCGGCAAATTTAATGTCAATATTTAAGTCAATAAGATGTGTAACCACCTCTCTTCCGGTACAGTTCCATAACACGGCGTCTCATACTCTGTACAAGCCTTCTGAACTTTAGTTGAGCAAATTTATTCCATTCATCAACAATTGCCCCTCTTAAATCGCCAAGATTTTGCAAAGGTGGATCTCTGCGATTGAGATTTCTGCCAATGAGCATCCCAGACATGTTCGATAGGGTTTAGGTCTGGAGACATGGAAGGCCAAAAGATAGTGTCAATGGCTTCTTGATCTTTGTAATCGGTTACAATCCTTGCCCTGTGTGGTCTAGCGTTGTCGTCTATGAATGAGGGTCTTGACGCAAGTTGGGGATTCTCAAAATGAGGGACTACAATGTTTCTAAGCACCAAATCCCTGTATGTCTGTCTGTTCATGTTACCCTGCAAAATATGCATACCCAGCTTACAACAGTATGAGAAGAAACCCCATACTGTAACACCACCATCAACGATTGCTGTCGTTGGACAATTGTTGTTTTGGTGATAGGCAGTTTTATTTCCCCGCCAAACTCTTATTCTGCCGTCTATTGGTCGTAACAGAAACCAACTCTCATCTGACCAATGAATATTTTGCCAGGTTCTCATGTTCCATCGTCGATGGTCATTAGACCTTTGAAACCTGGTTATACGGTGCCTGGCTGTTAGGGCACGTCTTTTGACAACACGACGTGCACTTAGGTAGCCTCTATGAAGTCGACGGACCAATGTTCGAACACTAACACGACCACCTGGAGGCCAGTGGTGTCTAAGCTATGGGGCAGGAGTAAATGGGTTGGCTTTAGCACGACCAATAAGTAGTCTGTCATTACGATAGGTAGTTAAACGGGGTCTTCCGGACCTTGGTCTATCATTTACAGTTCCTGTGTCAATATGACTTTAACTTTTGGCGGACTGTATAGATAAAAAGGATTGAAAGACAGACAAACTGTCTTAATCTTGTATATTTACAACTCTTGTCACTGTGGACATTTTTTGTCTTCAAATTCTATACTAAAAACATGAAAATATTCAATCACAGAGAAACCACTATTTGTGTTTCATATTTGTATCCTTACGCGGTTGTCATATAAAATTGTTTTTAACCCGAAAGTCGAATTTGTTTTTGTCAATTTTTCACTGATGCCGTTTTTAACGAAAATTTTATTATTGTTTTAATATATTTGACATGAGCTCTACAATATTTGATAGAATTACTTTTTTGGTTTGTAGATACATGATCTAGCTTCATATTTCAAACTCCTTAGAAAGATAGTTGAGAAGGAAAGACCCAAGGTTTATGTTGCTTGGAATATGTTTTTCTACCCGAGTTTTGGGGTCTGTCATCCGGACTCGGCACAGATACTTTATAAGTCATCAGCACCAAAGGCGTATGCCGTTGGAGGGGCCTACAGATATCTGAGAGATTGGATAGGTAAGAATGCTGTCAAATGGACCTACACATATAGATTGGATAGGTAAGCTTATGCTGTCGAAGGACCTACATATGTTTATGAGATTTGATAGGTAAGCTTATGCTGTTGGAAGGGCCTACAGATGTCTATGGCCGAGTTCACTTGAACCTCCAAGCGCGTAGCTACGTTTACGCCAAAACACCCGGGCGTGCACATGAATTTTGGAAGAAGAAAAAAAATTAATCTAAAAAGATTAAAGGAATTGGTTAAAACCACACGAGCATTGTTGTTCTTTCTACGATGACTTGTAATTGAAGATAAATCAGATGGTATCATATCATATATTTGTTCATTTTTTTCAAAGTATTTATCTACTGTGATTTAATACTCAGTTTGCTATTGTTAAAAGCAATTTATTACATATAATACCATGTTAACAACGAGGGTGACGGTGTTTGACAGTCTGAGGTAAAAAACATCAATGATTTAATAAGGCAAAGCTTTTGTTGTACTCAAGTTAACTAAAGTTTTCTTTATTATATATATATGGATGCCGAGACACGATATGTAGTTTTCATTTTAATTTTACAACTGACCATCTATGGTGGGATGACTTCCAATGAGAGACATCTCGAGACTCCACCAAAGACTAAATGACGTAGAAATTACCAACTATAGGTCACCGTTCGGCCTTCAACAATGAGCAAAATCCGTACCGCATAGTAAGCTAAAAAAGGCTCTGCATTGACAAATGTAAAATAATACAAACGAGAAAACTAACGGCCTAATGTATGTGCAAAGCAATAAACGAAAAACAAGCATGATATACAGCAACAAACGACTATAACTGAATTGCAAGTACCTGAATAGACACAAACACATACAGAATGTGGCTGACCTAAGCATGTTTTCCGGCGCCCAACCCTCCCTTAATCTGGACAGTGATGTAACAGTAAGAATAAATAATAAAAATCACTTGAAAAGGACTTAGCTCATTAGATCAATACAAGCACACAAAAAAAAAAGAAAAAAAAAAAAGACACAAAGTACCGATCTGAGAGTACTCGCAGTTATTGAAAGCTAGCTCAAAGCCCATAATACTCTATAAAAAATCATGTATCTAAGACTAAAATATCAATCAGTGCATTTCCAAGGGTGCCTGTGGAATAGAAATATGGTCACTAGTAGTCTACAGCTCATCTTCCGACCGACAGTAAAACCCTTGACAAAGTGGGGCGTCCGTTTGGCTGTGTGGGATGTACAAGTACGCAGCCACGTCTGATCAGAATAAGGAAGTTTAATTCGATGCCTAGTTTAGAGAGAAAACCCTTGCAACCACTTTTTGAGCAGATGGGTCAGTAGGTGGACTGTTGCAAGGGAAAGTTTCTGTCCCTATCCAATTTACCCTATTTTTCTAGTGGCAGTCTAAATTTCACCGACCTTCATCTGGATGGCCTTTATTACAGGACCTACCTATTGTATTAATTGTTAATGTGTTCTGATCCTGAATATTCATGAAATATTTGCCACTGGAAGTTAAGCAACTAACAATCACTCAATCATGAATCAGTACACATCCAACATCCAATGGCTTTAGTGTAAAGACGTCATTAACATTCAGAAAAAACATGACCTTGTGCACTGCCAAAATATAGGTATCGACAGATTGTAGGATCGTAAATGTACATCTGTATAACAATAATAGGTCTGTCACGGAACCGCTAGGGCATGTTGTGGCCACTGGGCCCCTCTCCGAGGTTCGCGCGTACACTTAAAAATTGCATAGCTACGCCACTGACCCCTCGAGTTAACTTTATTTACTCGAGTTGCAACAATCCGAGTTTTCTTGAACCTCTCGAGTTAACCCCTCTTACATGGTTCCAACCCTCACCTAGCCAGGGTAAAACTAGAGATACCCTTGAATGACGTCAAACCAATCAGATTATTTCATTTTTTCATGCTTGGTCAGGGCCTTACCCTAGTGTTAGTTAGAGTTGTTCCGAATAGCAACTCGAGTGTATTCACGTGATACTCTTGAAACTCTGAAGACAACTCTAGATTTTCAATTGATGATAGGATAGGTAAGAAAAGACTTTAAATTCCGAACATTCGATACCAACGACTATATGGAAGTACAAAATGTAAATGGGAATAATTGGAAAATTGATATATGAAAATAGAATTTTAAACTCCCAAACTTGGTAGCAAAGGCCAACACTGTTTGAAGGACTTATACATTTATGCATATCAGAATGATGATATATTAAAAATAAAATGTTAAAATCCATAGCGAAATGCATTTTTTTGTCTTCGCGCTATTTGTCTATTTGCCTTATAAATGCAGTGTTCAGTTTGTTTGAAAGATTGTAAAAGTTGTTAGTAATTTTATCAGTCCATTTCAGGTTTTTTTTACTTATTTTTGTTTTGTTTTCTTATAAAACACCCTTGAAACCATGCATACCATATTGCCTGATAGTACCAGATACATAGTTAATGTTAAGCAGTTAGAGATTGGGATGGTCATCGAGTGATAATCAAATAACGTAACACAAATATTATATATAAATAACGTTAACATAAATATTATATATAAATACTCATTCACACATATTAATATGTTCATTATTAACTTCTTCAACAAAAATATATTTACAGATCTGCGATCAAAAAGCTCAACTATCACATTGTTATAATAGTCTATGATTTTGATTTTGTAAGCATGTAACATGGTCTTCTACGATTGCTATAAACAACTATGTGTTCGCATTTAGAAACTTTTTCAGAGTCGTCGTCAAACTGCAATGAATGTTTTTATTCCATATTGATGTTATTTAAGCAAGTTTTCTCATATGCATATTTACCTACAGAAAAGTGATTTTCATCTCGCTAAACTTCACGTGCTTTTACATATAACGTTATGGTAAAATGTTTGATGTACCATTGTTTTTTTGTAAATAATTGTCATCCAGTTACATCTCTTTGAAAATGGAATAAAACAATTACTATCTTTTTTGTTTTGGTAATATAATTCAATTGAATTTTGAAAAAAAACCTTATATTTATTTAACCGTTTTCCTCAAAAGTCAATAAAACCACATATTTACCTCATAAAAGACAGTAATTGTAAAGCGATTCAGGGTAAGCTTTAATAGTACGTTTAAATGGAAAATAATTAGTTATAAAAACTAGAATAATAAATTCTGTTTCCTTTGAATACTGCACTAATTAAAAGCATATGTAATAATACATTATCATGATCAGATGACGATGAAAGGAGAGGGATAGGGAAGAAGACAATGTTGGCGATGATGACGATGATTAAAGTACTCACTGTAAAAGTTAATGAAATACAATGAGTTGTTATTAAAATTCAACGTTTAAACATTTTGTTTATCTAGGCGACGGTTTGCTGATATCTGATGGAAAGAAATGGGAAAGGAATAGACGACTTTTGACCCCAGGCTTCCATTTTGAAATACTAAAACCATACGTCAAAGTATATAACAGTGTTACGGATGTATTTCTTGTAAGTATAGTAGTATTATGGGATATAATTCGGAAAAAACCATGCTACACTGAAGAACAAATGATCAAGATGCTGGTGAATATCATTGAAAACCTGTTTGTTGAATTTGGAGGTTGCATTTTAGAGGCTTGTCGGCATTCCTAATGGAACCAACTGTACGCCTGTAGTGTCCTGGAAAACTTGTTCCTGTATTCATGTGAGTAGGAGGTCCATCAAACACTTACAAAACAAGAAGATTATAAAAGCTTAATCATTAAATAAGTATCTAGACTTTGGACAGACATATTGACATTTGGCTAAGTTATGTTAGTTTCCCTCCCCATTTTTATCCTCGATCAGAATAATGACAAGTTTTAGCTTTCTAAAAAGCTGTCGACTGCTGCGCTCTATCCTAATTTTTAGTAACATGTGTGCATGTGGTTGTTGATTTAGTATTGGAAATTTGGTATATTAAGATATTGATTGATATAAAATTGATGTCTTAGACATGGAATATCATGTTTTGTACATATATTAACATGATTAAGATGAACTTTTCTGAAATGTTAAACTGGCTGTTCAGTGTTTAGTTGTCAATGTGTTTTTATGGAGTGTGGTTTTCTAGTTCTTTCTAGTTCTTTCAGCTGGTCATTGACTTGCGATTTTGATTACTAGTTCTGTATATAATTTGTTGATGAAGAGTAACATAAAATAATGCAAAAATTATGATAATTTTACTGATAACAATAAGCAATAACATATAATTGTAAACAGTAATAAATTAGTTTCAGTAAAAATGATGTTGTTCTACTTTAAGAGTGTGCGTTATACACACATGCTTTTAAAATGATGTCCACTTTACTTGTTGAAAATTAAAACATTTACAAATAGACACGACTCTGGAGGTGTGCCACTCTGGAGGTGTGCATAGGTTGACAGAAATTATAATATACAGATAATGTATTTTTGTAAATATTGTATAGGAACATTGTTTAGCAAAACAAATTGTGCATATTACAAATTAACAAAGCAAATAAACACATATTAATAATTGATATTTCAATATTGAATAACTGAACTATAATTAGTTAATTTTCCGGCATTTAATGTCTTATCCTGAGATAAGAAAAGTCTGTAATTTTTTATCTCATTTAAGCCAATAGCTGTTGCTGTATCTCAGCCGCATCATAAAGCAACCAATCAGAATCTATATGTGACAAGTAATTATTTCAAGATGGCGTGTATATCGATTGAAACTAATCTCAGCACCGTGATGCGAAGTAATAAAATCTGAAAGACAAAAAAGGAAGAATCAGGTTTAGAAATATGATTAACTCTTTACCTACGCTTTTATACAGGATAAACACACACGTAGAATAGTACAATAATAATCAAATTTAAAAGTTTAATCTTTAATTTGGGGAAAAATACAACGACACAATCTAAAGTATAATTTTGCGTTCACACAGTGCCGATTATGGCTCCCGTTTGAGATCAGACAGCGTTTAGACACGAAAAGTGAAAATAGTAAGATTACTATCCTCAATGATCTGGAAGGTCCTATCATTGCCTGAACGCTGTAGTATACGTTCGTAACAGATTTATACGGATCGGAAAGATCGGCCAAGCTCTTCCGAGAGTTAGGTGCTTCCCGCAACATTCGGGGATTTTGTCTAGTCGGATTACAATCGTGACTATGTAGTTTCAGATTTGGCTGTATCGGATCAAAATCGTAACAATGTTTGTGTTTTCTGGACGGTGTCCTGTGGAACGGGAATGATCTGGAGAAATTTTTTCATTGCTGTATTTTTTCCGATTGAGTCAAGATTGTAACCGTCTTTGCCGAAACCGTTCCTGAACAGTCCCGTTATCTATATGAAATTCGGCAATAATACTCTACAGCAGACTGTGATAGGATTGCGTTCCGACAGTACCTGATCTTACCGAATAGGGCGACAGTTTTCTAACGAAAATCTTCCGTTAGCGTTGGTTTACTGTCTGGTCACTGTCTGACGTCTGTCGGATCGCATTCGACAGAATCGAGAAGCAGTCGTGACCAATTCGGTCGTTTTTAACCATAGGAAAGATACAAATCGGATTAGAATCGGATTGAGAACGGAATAATTGGGACAAATTCGGAAGGAATGGCTGAAATTATACGCTTTATGAACAAAATCTGATTGCTGATAAATGTTTTTACAAATTTTAGTAAAATTTTGACTTCCCAGCCATGATTCACAGGATCTTGATCAGACTTTTTACAAAATTTAATCGGGAATGGTCCTATCAAGGACGGCAGTAAACATCGTGAATGTGTGACCCCGGCTTAAGTCAAATAAAACACTGGCTTCACTATAGCCGAAAGAAAATCGCAAACAGAAAACCTAACAACAATCCCAAAAAGACTACTCAGAAAACTGAAGATTGAGAATTGAGGAGGAAGACACAATTAAAAAACGGGGGGATGAACGTAAGTGATCAGGAACATGAACAGTTCATGCTTATTAGAGCCACCGTGGCAAGTGACATTCGATTTTAAAATACGAAAGTAGCTTTACATAGACTTTCTTCTTTTGCATGATTTAATAGGAAAAATTGAAGGTTAATGCTAAAAGTGGCGAGGCAATAGACATATTCCCGCGTGTAGCTTTTGCATCTTTAGACACAATATTAAGATGCGCCTTTTCATACCAAGGAAACATACAAGATCAAGGGTGAGTATATATTAAAGTAAAATATCACCAAAACAAGAAATAATCTTTACACATACGGTAGGATGCAAAATCAATACTGAGTTATGAAAGGACTCAAGCAGAATATATTCAAACATGTTGACAAAAACTGTTAAATTAGCTGGACATCTGCATAAGAAGCAATATAAACCGACGATAAGACGTTATATCGAATAACGTTAATCTAACACAGCGGTAACTTTACATTTGCAATATAATACTTTGGTTATTTCAGTTTAATTTACGATTTCGAACTTTACATTTTGGATAAACAACTGTCTACTGCTGAAGTCTAGGCTACTTTTGGTGTTTTTAGTTTCAGTATTGCTGTTTAAATCTTAGGTATACAACCAATAAAGAAGATCTCAATGTTTATCGTTACAGATCTAAACATCCCTACGTAAATGCTGTAAACAGATTGTCATATTTAACGTTGTCTAGGTGCCTGTAAGTATATCTATTATGTATATACAAGTCTAAATTGAAAACAACGTTCAAACCTATGATTGCGTTGGATAAAAACCGCAATTTTTATACGAGTGCATGCAAAACAAATTTCTTGTTAGAGGGGTCTAAATACAGCACAAACAACACTTTCCAAAAGACCATAAAAGTTAAAAAGTATACTTTAACAAAACGCATTTGACTAACAGGTCGAACAACAAATGTTCTTAAACCCTGCTGACTGCCATTGGCGATTGCCAAATAAATGGATCACCGATGTAATAAATGGATCTTTAATTATAAATTTAATACTAAACAGAAAACAATATTATATATATACTATATACATCCATCTATATATCCGAATACTATGGATTTGGTTACCTCCGTAGATACCAATTTTCTTGGATTAAAACAAAAAATGGACGTTTTTGGATACATTAATTTCAACAACGAAACAAGTCTATTAGAATTTTTGTTTAACGTTCATCTATACACAAGACAATTTGTATCCCATGAATGATGATGAATAAGCAGACTTTGTTTAATAATATAGTTTGTTTCCTCTAAAATTTACGTCGTTAGTGCAGAAGTATCTGGAACAATGTTATTATCAAACAATAGATAGCATGTTCTGAAATCAAGCTTAACGTTCTACTAGAAAATTTTGCCATCCGATATTCTTATACTGGCAATTGTCCTGGAAAAAAACCCACAAACTTTGTCAGGAGTAAGTCTACACATTTTCGATGAACAATTGACATTTTTTGTCTCATTCCAACTGTATATATATAACGAAATGCTTTTTACTTGAATACATACAAGACACAGTGATTTAATGAAACTACATGTATTTAGTTACAATCAATCTGTTTATTCAACCAAAACGATTCCCAAACTTGATTCTTTTAAACAAATGTTTGCACGGTGATCTGTAATTGTTTATATCTTCGTCATCTCAACTTTTGTGGGCACTTGTTTCATTTTTAATCGAAACACATTTCTTTATTTTTATATTTTATCGCAATTATTTTTTGACTGAACTACGTAAAATAAAGGCAACAGTAGTATACCGCTGTTCGAAACTCATAAATCGATAGAGATAAAAACAAATCCGGGTTACAAACTAAAACTGAGGGAAACGCATCAAATATAAGAGGAGAACAACGACACACCAAAAACACAACATTAAAATGTAACACACACAGAAACGAACTATAATATAACAATGGCCATTTTCCTGACTTGGTACAGGACATTTTAAGAAAAAAATGGTGGGTTGAACCTAGTTTTGTGGCATGCCAAACCTCCCGCTTTTATGGCAACGTCAAACACAACACCAAAACGACAACATCACATGACAGGACCAGAATACAAATAAATGGGAGAACATATAGGACAAAGAAACACACGAATAATAGCTAACAAAAGGCACTAGGCTTAAAATTCAATACGCCAGACGTGCGTCTCGTCCACACAAGACCAACCAGTGACGCTCAGATGAAAACAGTTTGAAAGCCAAAACAAGTACAAAGCTGAAGAGCACCGAGGACCAAAACTTCCAAAAAGTTGCGCCTAGCACGGCCAGGGTTTTCTGCCTGGGACAAGAACATCCTTATTATTTAGAATAATTTATAATTTTGCAAACAGAACATTTTATAAAATGACTATATAGTAGATATACATGATAAAACCGAAGTGGGGACTAACTACAGATTAAAAACGGATACATTACATAAAACAACTTAATCCTACACATAAAAATACACAGCCGAGTTAGCCAAAGCCTCCACGCACAAAGTGACTATACACTTCAATTCTATTCCTGCAGTTAGAATAATACATTCCTAATAAACATGTTTTTATAATACAATTTAGTAGACGTTTTTACCAAATCAATTTCCACTTGGTGTGGATATTAAAAAGTCTTTGTTCTTTTACAATTAATGAATTGTCTTAATCTGTATCTACAAAGTTGCAGTTTTAAATCTTATCTTTGAAATGATCAAGTTGTGTGTTTAACTACTCATTAAAACAATGAAAATCTATAATCATTCTTTTTCAGAAAACCTTGGTATCAAATTGATTTTATCTATCGATTTTCTAACGAAAGAAAAGAACTGAAACAGCTATGTGATTATTCACACGAATTTTCAAATGGAATTATAAAAGAAAGAAAGCAGACTCTAGTTCGTGTTAAGCTTAACGTTATATAAGTCATATAACATTGTAGTTCATTATTTTCGCGAGAGAACGTGCATTCATCACGAATTCAAAAAAGACGAAACACAAAGAGACAAAAGCACGAAAAACTTAAGAAAAATTGCGATTGACCGACATGAACACTTCCTGAGTCCTTTACTTCGTCCAAAAGTTGTTATTGAATACATCACGACCTACGCTCCAGTATAAAACAAACCAAAAAATGTCATTGGTTGCAAGATGTCTTAAAAATGTATTCGACATTCATGTACAGCACCAAGTAGTAACAGTTTTTAATGAAAAAGTTAAAACATTTGACAATTGATTTAAGTATATTATTGGTACTCTGTGATATTCAAATTCAAGTTAGTTTTAGAAATGGTTTGTTACTGGCACTTAGAATGAAGCTATTTCAAAGAAACATACACTATTCCTTTAAAAAGATGTATAATAATGTATGTACATACTATTGCAGTTTAGAGTGTCACATTAGTATCTTCCACCTCTTTTTTGTTATATGGTTAGAAACCTTCTTAAGAATGACAATAACACTTAAATTATAAGTTTGTCGCACAAAACGCTTTCCTGGCGCGATCACCACACAATAATCCAAAGCCTTTAAGTCAAGTATGTATAAGATATTGTTTACGTAAGGAACTATATAGCCGAACGTGACATGAAAAATAGCCAAGTTCATTTAAAAACAACTTTGCCGATAGGGTGTCAACCATAAGTTTCAATATAACTTCTAACTTTATTAACCGTCTATTATCAATATTCTAGAAGAAAGAAGGCCAACCGACAAAGCGTCATCTTGATTTCCTTGATATACTTCTTACAGCCAAAGATGAAAATGGAATAGGACTGTCTGACGAAGATATAAGAGCGGAAGTCGATACTTTTATGTTTGAAGGTGAATGTCTACAGATAAATAGTTTTGTAAAATATAAACTATTAGAAAAATGAAATACAATCAGACCAATTATCAATTATAAAGCTTCAGAAATAATACAATGAAATGGTAAAAGCAAGAAGGAAACAATAATTAATGAAGCCTTAACAAACAAAACTAAATGTTAAGCAATGCAAACACTGGAAAGTAAAAAAAAAATGAACTCATAATACTGTGGAAAGTTAGGCTGATTTTGTAACACTATTCAAAAAGTAAAATCACAAAAATACTGAGCTCCGAGAAAAATTCAAAAAGGAAAGTCCCTAATCAAATGGCAAATTCAAAAACTCAAACACATCAAACAAATGGATAACAACTGTCATATTTCTAACTTGGTATATGCATTTTCTTATGTAGAAAATGATGGATTAAACCTGGTTTTATAGCTAGCTAAACCTCTCACTTGTATGACAGTCACATAAAATTCCATTATATTGACAATTTACCCTGTTATGGTTTTATACATGTTATACTAATGTAGATATTTTCAATTTTATCTTATGGTGTCGTCAGTCTTTGGTTGTAGCTAGTTTGTCAAGAGTATTAATACAGGAATCTATACACTATCATGTACTTTAATGATAGCTCTCCTTAAAGAAACTACTTCATCTTCAGTATTTAAGAGAGTGTAATAGGTATTTAAATTTGGTTAAATAATGTCGTTAATTTGTCGAAATGGTTAAATTTCCCTTTTAAAGTATTTCCATGGTAGATAATTCTTAATGGCCAGAACAAAAATCAAAACTAGACAATATTTTGCAAAAATGAAGAGAACAGATCTACTTTGATCAGAAATAATGTTGTGTTAAAGACTGGTTTGAATGAAGGTAACTTAAATCATAACCAAAGTTTACCAGCTCAGTCGTCAGAAATTTTGTAGGACAGTTGTTTTCCATTCGTTTGATGTATTTGAGATTTTGATTTTGCCAAATGATAATGGATTTTCCCTTTGAATTTGTCATGGTGTTCGGTAATTTTTGTTGTTTCACTTTTTTTGACATGACAAATCATTGATATGTTCATTTTCTGGTTTTAAAGCTCTACAACTTCGTATTTATTAGTCCTCTACCGACTAAGTCGAAGGGGACTTTAGGTTTGCAATCCGTCCGTCTGTCTGTCCGTCCGTCCGTCTGTCCATCCGTCAGTCCGGCAAATCAGTTTTCCACACTTTTTTTCTTCGTTCTTGAAGATATTGATTTGATATTTGGTATATAGTTTTATCATGACAAGTTATAGATCAAGTTCGAATTTTGTTCCGGTCTAATGATTAAGTCCAGAGTTATCATGATCCATATCTAATGTTAGAGTACTACATTTTGTATGTTTAACCATATTTCTGTACAAAGGGAGATAACTGATTTTTTTAAAGACATTCTTTGGTAAATTGTTTGAAGTGTTTGTTATTTTGTATAAACTAATTTTGTGAATGCTATATATATAAAAAAAATTATGAAGTGAAATACTTTAATTAGATAATAAAGTATTTTTATTAAGGTATATATTTCATTACATTACATTGTGCATAGATAAAAGTTGACATTTTATAGATAAGTTACAAATCTAAATTAGTTTGTGACAAATGAAAGAAAAAATATTTGGAACTATTAATTATATTCGATTATAATTTGAAAATAGATATACATTGTATTACATCATATCTAATTTTAGAGAACTATTAATCATATCTAATGTAAAGAGTGTTTTCCACACTTTTTTTTCATCATACTTGAAGATATTGATTGATAATTGGTATATAGTTTTATCATGACAAGTTACATATCAAGTTCAAATTTTTGTTTCAGTCTGATAATTTTGTGCAGATCTATGGTCCTTGGAATTTAAAAATTCACTCATATAATCCGTTTTCCACACTGCTTTTAGTCATGCTTGAAAATATTGACTAGATATTTTCTTTTTGTTTACACCATGACAAGTTATAGAACAAGTTGGCATTTTGTTCCAGTTTAAGGAATTTTTACTAGGTAGGGGACTATGTATTGCCATGCAATACTCTCGGAATGCTTGTATTTATTAAGATTCAAAACCGCAAAAAAAAACCATGTTGCTAAAGAGTTGAGAAACAGATAATCGGCCGACCAAGTCATGACAGTCACCGTCAAACGTATGTAGAGTCGATGCCAGTCATCCTACCGGGGCAATGTGCATGTTAAGAGCAACTTGCTGTAAAATAAGACCGTATGATTCAAACATGCGTTAGCGTTACACATCAATTGAGATGTGTAGATGCGATACAATTGAACTAAGAAACGGGGAGTTGACAATTGGAAAGCTTAAATCATCACGTTTGTGATTCTAGTTGGAGTTGTTCATCTGTGTCAATATCATGATTCAAAAGTATACCTTATTAAACCTTTTGGGGGGTTTTGGAATGCAGTAGTCACTCGCCGAAATGTTTGTCATTGAGTGACAGGACATTAGCAAAAAGTAAAATCACAAAATTACTGAACTCCGAGGAAAATTCAAAAAGGAAAGTCCATAATCAAATGGCAAAATCAAAAGCTCAAACACATCAAACGAATGGATAACTACTGTCATATTCCTGACTTGGTACAGGCATTTTCTTATGTGGGAAATGGTGGATTAAACCTGGTTTTAAAGCTAGCTAAATCTCTCACTTGTATGACAGTCGCATTAAGTTCCATTATATTGACAACGATGTTTGAACAAAACAAACAGACATAATAGGTAAAAATGTCAAAAATAGGGGTACAGCAGTCAACATTGTGTTATGATCTTAATCACTATAAGACAAACAGATATGTAACAAAGAAGCACAAAATAGCATATAGACCAAGCATATTAGCAAAAAATAAAGACAAGAATACACAAACTTACCATAGTACAATGACACAATGACGGGATGTATAAGTACAGAAAAAAGTAAAATCACAAAAATACTGAACACCGAGGAAAATTCAAAACGGAAAGTCCTTCATCAAATGGCAAAAATCAGGGGTATCCCGGAGGTTATTCCGTTGAGCCACGTCATATATATATCAAAGAAACATAAAAAAGCAAATAGACAAAACCAATTAGCAAAAATGAAAGACAAAATACAAAAATATATCTGAAGGTAAAATTAAATAGTGTGGCAAGATGCTTTTTAGTTTTGTCTTTTAGAGTTTCAAGTCTCCTTTTGAGTTATGCATGACTTTCGTTTTAGGGACGGTTTGATGATCTGTAGATAAATATGTGACACGTTAACTTTGACCAGTCAATATATTACAAAGTTAACATGTTGTAAAGGTATATGTAAGACTATTTTTGCATACTAGTCCTTTGCAGGTCATGATACCACTGCTTCTGCAATTAGCTGGTCTATATACTGTTTGGGGAAATATCCAGAAGAGCAGGAAATAGTATTTACAGAAATATCAGAGCTACTAGTAGATAAACCAGAGGTAACATGGTACGTTAATTTAAAAATCAAAGAAGGTTGAGGATTGTATAACAATATAGAAACAAAACAAAAATACCATTAAATGATAGCTGAGCGACAAATTCTATTCTTTCAGAGAGCAAGCAACACGATGGGTGCCACATGTAAAGCAGAATCTCTTTCCTTTCTGGATCACCTGAGTTTCACTCCCTGTTTTGGTGGGGTTTGTGTTGCTCAGTATTAGTTTTCTATGTTCTGTTTTATGTATTGTTCATTTTGTTGTTGATCTTTCCGTCGGTTTTTTCGTTTTTATACGTCCGATTACGGGATGTTTTATGGCATACCGTTGTCGGTCCGCCCGTCCGTCCGTCCGTCTGTCTGTCCGTCCGTCGTCAACATGTCGAACATTAATTCAAAAACGCTTTAAATAATTTGTATGAAACTTTGGTGAATTGTTTATATCTATTGATGTAAGCTCCCATTCGTTTTTTTTTTATAATTTTGGTTGATACGTTTCCGAGTTTTGGGGTTTTATTCATTACAAAAAAGAGGGATTTTCCAGTTTTCGGACAATAACTCAAAAACACTTTCACCAATTTGCAAGAAACTTCGCTGAATTGTTTATATATATTGACATGAGCTCCATTTCGATTTTCATAAATTTTAGATTTTACGTTTTCGAGTTAAATGGTTTCATTCATCACACAAATGGGGATTTTCCAGTTTTCGGACAATAACTCAAGTATGGTTTGAGCAGTTTTTCCTGAAACCTTGTTGAATTGTTTATATCTATTGACGTAAGCTCCCTTTTAATTTTTATAAATTTTAGTTTTTAAGTTTACTAGCTATGGTGTTTTATTCATATCAAAAAGGAAGATTTTCCAGTTTTAAGACAATAACTCAAAAATTGCTTTCAGCAGTTTTCATGAAACTTTAGTAATTTGTTTATATCTTTTGTTGTAAGCTCCCATTTGATTTTTATGAATTTAAGATTTTACGTTTCCCAATTATGGGATTTTATTTATAAAAAAGGGGTGATTTTCAAGTTTTCGGACGAGATCCTTAAAGTGCTTTGAGCAGTTTTCAGTAAACTTTGGTGACTGATTTATATCTATTAAGATAACCTCCCATTTGTTTTTTTTTTTATTAATTTCTGATATGACATTGAGAAGTTGTTGAACTTTATTCTTTGAAAACACGACGGGCGTATCATGCGCTCATAGCGCAGCTGTTTATTTTCTTTGTCATGGCGTTGTCCGTTTGAGTTGAACTTATAATAGTTATCAAAGGTACCAGGCTTATAATTTAAAACGCCAGGCGCGCGTTTTGTCTACATAAGACTCATCATGCAGTGACGCTCAGATCAAATAGTTATAAAGCCAAACAAGTACAAAGTTTGAATTTCCCTCTGTTATATTTTGCCTTTTATTTCCAGAGCGAACTAATTTACTTGAGTATAATTTTGTATCTATATTCTCTGAAGAAAGATATTGTTTGTCTTTTTTTTCTTTTATAACCATGATGTCATCTTTACTTCTTCAATGTTCATTGTTCTTTGACTTATAATTGTCGTTTAATTTTGAAAATAATGATATATAATACCGCAGTTCATAAAATTACACTTTAGCATGCGGAGTCATTTATGTCAAGCACAGAATAGAGCATGGCTTGCCAAAAAAATTGTTATTATTAAACTGATTGGTCCCGTATTGTGGAGATATTATAGACACTTCAGACAGAAAAGTAGTCAGGATTTGTTATCCTTGGTATACACATGTTTTAAATGAAAGAAGATAACAATTCACCCCTCAAATTGCAAATATTGTAAATATTACTTGTTCCTTGGGCTGCAATATTATATTATATTATATCAATTTCATTGTTACATGAACATGACGATATGGTAAGTTTAGTGCTGGAAGGAATGATGTTTTTATGAGGCAACTTGTCAATAGAAAATTGTATATTTCTTAATCAAGAAGTTTGACACCCTTAAGAAAATATGTTAGATAAAATGCAATGTTATAATTGATAATGGATAGGTGAACATCTGCAGAATGTTATTTTATAGACCTATGTGTCATACTTTGTGCCAAAAGTGTTGTTGATCTTTCAAAAACTCTTTGTTTTATTCAGGGAAAATCTTCAGGAGATGCCCCACCTTACAGCATTTGTGAAAGAATCAATGAGGATGTTTGCACCAGTGCCAGGAACAGCCCGACTACTGACTTCTCCGATGAAGTTTGGTGACATAATTGTACCAGCTGGTGTTCAGATAGATATTAGTATTCATTCGATTCATCATCATCCGGATGTTTGGCCTGAACACGATGTAAATATATTTTATTTTGATAGGTTTGAGGTTTAAACGTGACATAGGAAAAATAAAGGCAACAGTAGTATACCGCTGTTCGAAATTCATAAATCGATTGAGTGAGGAAAAAAAACAAATCCGGGTTACAAACTAAAACTGAGGGAAACACATCAAATATAAGAGGAGAACTACGACACAACAGAAACACAACATTAAAATGTAACACACACAGAAACCAACTATAATATAACAATTGCCATTTTTCTGACTTGGTACAGGACATTTTAAGAAAAAAAAGTGGGTTGAACCTGGTTTTGTGGCTAGCCAAACCTCGCACTTTTATGGCAATGTTAAATATAACACTAAAATGACACCATTACATGACATGAATACAGTACAACATTACTGACAGAGAATTACGCAAATAAACAATACAATATAGTACATTTGGACAACGAAACAACAGAAACACTAGAGTGAACAAACAACAAACGTCAATGCAACACACACAGAAACAAACTATTCGATAACAATTGCCATTTTCCTGACTTGATACAGGACATTTTTAAGAATAAAATGGTGGGTTGAACCTGGTTTTGTGGCTAGCAAAACCTCCCGCTTTTATGGCAATGTTAAATATAACTTTGTTAAAATGACAACATTACATGACAGGACTACAATACAAATAAATGGGAGAACATATAGGACAGAGAAACATACGAATAATAGCTTACAAAAGGTACTAGGTTTAAAATTTAATACGCAAGACGCGCGTCTCGTCCACACAAGACTAACCAGTGACGCTCAGATCAAAAAAGTTCGAAAGCCAATACAAGTACAAAGTTGAAGAGGATTGAGGACCAAAAGTTCCTAAAGGTTGTGCCAAATACGGCTAAGGTTTTCTGTCTTGGATAAGAACATCCTTAGTATTTAGAATATTTCATACTTTTGCAAACAGTAAATTTATAAAAATGACTATATAATAGATATACATGATGACACCGAAGTGGTGACTAACTACAGAATAACACAGGAAACACTGTTATTTTGTAATTTGCTTTATGTAGGTACAAAAATTTAAAAATATAAATGGATAAATAAATAATTTTAATTAAGAGTATCTAAAATACGAAAAATACAGCAAAATGTACGAAAGGAATAGACAAATAGAAAACAACAGCCTACAAACAAATCGCATATACTCGAGATTAAACAACAATAACAAAACTGAACGAATTCGAATGAACACTGGAAGGGTCAGTTGTTTTTCATCGGCTAAATAAATCCTTTTAAATCTTACAAAACGGAATATTCGTGTAAATATTAGGTTATCAACACACAGACTGTAATAGGAATGTTTAACAATGTCAAAATGTATGATGAAGTCACCTTTAAATGTATCATAGTACAATTCCGACCAATTAAAATATGGTTATTAGGAAATTTGTTTTGAAAATATATCCATCATGTATAAAAACGACGTATTTTGAGTGATCATCTGTTAATGAATAAAACTTTTGCATTTAAAAATTTGCGCCATGGCGATACTCCCATAAGTAACTTCAATTCGTTAGATTGTAATAACATGTAAAGTCGATATTTGATGTATAACCTATATAGTAATCTTTATTTCAGTAGAACGCCCATCTAAATACAATTTTCAAACTTAAATATCATTAGTGAACTATTTTTGATTTGGTCATAAGTAAACTTCTTCCTTTTGAAAGAACGGACATTTTGCATATTGTCACAAACAACTGTTGTGTTTTTGAAAAGAAATTCAATAAAACAATCACAAGAGTATGCAGTTACTATTTGTTATGTTTGGTGCTATATTACAGGTATTTAGACCGGAGAGATTTTTACAGGACGATATAACTGATAGACATCCTTACAGCTACATACCATTTGCTGCTGGATCAAGGTAAGGGAGATAACATACGACATACATCCTTACAGCTACATACAATTTGCTGCTGGATCAAGGTAAGGGACATAACATACTACATACATCCTTACAGCTACATACCATTTGCTGCTGGATCAAGGTAAGGGAGATAACATACGACATACATCCTTACAGCTACATACAATTTGCTGCTGGATCAAGGTAAGGGAGATAACATACGACAGACATCCTTACAGCTACATACAATTTGCTGCTGGATCAAGGTAAGGGAGATAACATACGACAGACATCCTTACAGCTACATACAATTTGCTGCTGGATCAAGGTTAGGGAGATAACATACGACATACATCCTTACAGCTACATACCATTTGCTGCTGGATCAAGCTAAGGGAGATAACATACGACAGACATCCTCACAGCTACATACTATTTGCTGCTGGATCAAGGTAAGGGAGATAACATACGACAGACATCCTTACAGCTACATACCATTTACTGCTGGATCGAGGTAAGGTGAGATAACATACGAACAATTCGTAAATAAAATGTGAAACTTCTATGAATATGAATGTTTATATTGTGTAATAGCCCATAGTTTTATTGTTTATCTCAGAAAGATGGTATTTAAAAAAAACGGGCCAGAAAAAGTTTTAAACATATTACGAAAAGACGACCCTCGTATGCTTTGTGAGTTCGATTCCGAGAAATACACATTTTATTCACAAAAGCTTTAAAAGAGATAATGAAACGGTCTTTTTAAGACTTTGGCACATCTTCCAACAAAAAGACCATTTACATTTTATCAACTTATCTAATGAAAAACACACTAACACTTTATAGGGGTGATATGAATCAACTGAATATACTAAAACAAGATGTTATGTGTATTTACAAACCCATGCAATAGTATAAACACATTGGACTGCTTTGCTCTTTTTCTAGTATTCTTCATTATAATTGAAAAAGATAGATTGTAATAATTTTATCAAATCATACATTTTGCTAATCTACTAACAGAGATACCATAGCCGAAAACGGTTTTCCCAAAAATCATATTCTGTTACCAAATGTTCACGAGCTGTTTCAAGTCAAGTTTACCTTTATCGTATCTTTAGCTTAATGTTTTTAAGAAAATTTAGTATTGATAACAGATATTATATCGAGTTTAACCAGAGCCTTTTTTTAGGTTCGTGTTGGTCAGTCTTAGTATATAGGTCGATGCCACTGCTGGTGGACGTTTTGTCCCAGAGTTTATCACCAGCTCAGTAGTCAACACGTCGGTGTTGACAAGAATATCAATTATAACTTTATAAATTAACTGTTTGCAAAAGTATGAATTATTCAAAATACTAAGGATTGTTCTATCCTAGGCATAGACTACTTTAGCCGTATTTCGCAAAACTTTTTGGAATTATGGGTCTTCAATACTCTTTACCTTATATCTGTTTTGCTTTCTAACTATTTTGATCTGAGCGTCACTGATTAGTCTTACGTAGACGAAACGCGCGTCTGGCGTATTAAATTATAAGCCTGTTTCCTTTGATAACTACTATATGTTAACTTTGGTAAGTGTTGTTTTACTTTTAGTCGTTTTCTTTGTCTGTTAATTTTGGCCTACTATGATTTGTTTTTCTTCTCTATGGTATCTATCTATCTATCTTTGATTGATTGACTGTGGCTTGTTTACCGTCCAGTGTATATTAGATGAAACAAATGTCCTTTGTTTTTGTTGTAAAATGACGTAAAAACCCACTGTTGTCTTAACTATTATTGCTATTGCAGGAACTGTATTGGACAAAATTTTGCAATGAACGAAATAAAAGTTATTATCAGCAGATTAGTTCAGAGGTTTGTAGATGTTAATAAATAATGAAATTAAACTGATTTCGAGAAACTTTTGTGGCATTGTTATAATACGGAGTAAAATAAAATAAACAAAAAAAAAACCCATATAAATGAACAAACAAAAATAATAACACGGACAAACAACAACAAATAAGATTTTTTAAAAATTTAGCCTAGATGTGTAAATGCCAGATATAAAGAGTTATAAATATCAATTTGAATTATGTCGGAACGTAATTTGTGAAATTTTAATGATTACAAAAACATGCAATGTGAAACTGAATACTTAAAGTGTCATATGATAAATAACTAATAATAAAACAAAAGTTCATGAAATAAGACGAACAACAGTTAACGAGGCGTGGACGTACACACATTCTAAAGCATTGATCAATATATTAAATGCTCGGAATTGCTTATCAGTCGAGGAATAGATTATAACCCACTCTTCAAAGTAGCGGGGTTATATACTGTTTGAACATCCGTCCATATGCCTGTCAGTCAAGTCTCATTGTTTCTAATTGCTAAACTAAAAATGTATATCGGATTACATCCTTTTTTTGTTTCCATACGCTTAATTCAAAATTTGTATCGGATTACATCCTTGAAATACATGGTCACATATATTTGGAGGAAGTTTTCAACTAACATGACTTATGTTGTGTCGAAGTTCAAAATAACTACAAGGAGACCAAGTTAGCCTGGAGAGTTGTTGCAGAATGCATAATCATATACTACGTATGCGAAAACGCCCTAACTTAGATGTTCTCATATAATCAGGGAAAAACCCCTATTGCTTTTGGAGAAACGTTTAAGGCCATTGTATTAAAGTAGCTGTTAAAGATGTTCACTACCGTTTCAAAACAATTCTACTGTTTAATGGGATAAAAAGTCATGTTTGGTACCCTCCCCTTGCTATTCAATTGGTCTGAATCAGATTTGTTCCGCATACTGCTCAGTGATTTTGTTTTGCCGTCTTTGAATAATACTTGCTTTGTTATATGCTATAAAATTACGTACAACTCGTGTTAATGGGTGGGCAGCAATACATGAATAAATTGTAATTAGTAATACGAACTATTTTTATTGCTATTTCAGATATAAAGTATCACTAGTAGATGGTCATAATTATGATATAAATCCAGAACTCGTCATGAGGGCAACAAATGGAATCAAAGTAATATTGGAAAATCGATAAATGGAGAATTGTGGCAAATCGCGAAAAGATATTGGAACTTTAAACTAGTATAATTTTTACCCAAATGAAATACCGAAACATAATTGTCTTATGATCAACAGAGATACTTTCACTTTCTAAATGTATTCCCCCCACCCTAAAGTAATTCTCAACTAATTTACCAGAAATTCTTATGTAAAGTGTAAAAATGCAGCATTGTTTTTTTTATTTTTCTATCTAGGATATGATAGTTTGTAATGTGCTAAGTTTGCCACATTTTTTAATTGGAGTTATGCTATGTGTGCAGTGAATTATAGCACAAGAGAAGACTACAGTTTGGAATTGCCTAATTCATGATACGACAGATTAGTTTATGTATACCAAATAATGCAACAGACATCTACAACATTGTACAAGTTAACATTTGAGTGTTTAATTCAGCTAAAACTTTGTTTTTTCGCCAGAATGATCTATTGATTATATAAAATTTCCGTATTCAACAACAGAAAGTTTACATACAGAATGTCAATTTCTTAATTTAAGCGTAAATAGTTGTATACAGATATATATCATAAATCAGTCAAACACAGGAATTAGTTCATGAAGTCCTTTCCTTGCTTTTATTTAATAAAAAAAAAAACAATACGATATTATAAAGATGTGATTTTTTACTGAACTAATAGATTAATAAAAGAAGGTATTTTGCAAAATTCTTACGGATGTTGTATCAAATCACATATATAATAGTAGCACATATATACTGTATATAAAGACGTACACACTTCATTCAAAATAAAAATGTATCACGTTTCAATGCACACAGTAAGTGTTTTCTGGGGAAATACGCATAACAATAGCTAGAAGCCTATTATTTGGGAAGCCAAATGCAAGAAAAAAAAAACATTTGGGAAAACTATACTTAAAAGAGTGTATGGTCGGAAATTCAAACCGTCTAAAACGCTGGTCACCTGGATTATGGTATGTTCTGGGAAAATTCAAATTGAATAAAAAAAAAGACCAACTTTAACAAATGCTTTAAGGTTAGCAACAACGATTCGAAAAAAAATTATGTCCGCCATTTTTTTAGAATTAGGTAGATAAGATTAATAAATTACACATTTTACAAATTCATGTTTATTTTAAGTTTAAACATGTCACAAATTGCAAGGAACCTTAAATACCAATGATATAGGACATAGGGTACATACAGTTTTGTGCAGACCAAGCATTACATGTAGACGGGCGGAAAAAGTTAACGCGGCGTTTACTCGCGAGCACTTCAAGTAAACACCGCGTTAACGTGAAAAAAGGCGCGTCTTCTAGTTTCGTCAAAAGTAAACGCACGTTTACTGTTTGTAGTAAACGCGCGTTAACGCAAATTGTCATCGTATCCTGGATACACTGACCTTCATGAAAATAGTCTGTTTATTCATATTTGCCAGGTTTACATAATATTGGTTAAAAGCATGTATACTAAAGAGTTTAAAAGTCAAATGATAAAGTACATCAAAATTGAATGACCAACTGTTCATTTTCGATTGACATATTAACGATTACAGTTAATTAATAATGTTATTACACCTCTTTGAAAATTGAAAATTAATCATAGTAAATTTCTTTTTCTGCAGAAATAAACAGTTCAAGCATGTCCTTCTTTTATTCAAATAATTAAATCATCTCCAAAATCCAGCTGTTTTCACATCTCAGACTGTCTGACTCAAGATGACTGGTAAATCAGTTATATTTTTAGGTCAGGAGGGACTTTATAATACAAGTTACACCAATATATTAGAACAAAATAACTACAAATTTTTTTTCGTATCAATTGAGAGTGCCAGCATGTCCTCTTTTTATTCAAAAATATTAAATCATAAACAAATATCAGTAGTTTTCATACCTCAGACTGACTCGTATAACAAAATTATATTTATATTCAACCAAAACTGACCTTATTTGCTCTTTTTTATGTAAATCTTAAAGTGGCTTAGTAAATCCATACCTGCCAACTGTCACTATTTGCGGGGGATTTCCCCCATGGAGGCTCCTAATTGGAAATTTTGAAAGAGCATTTTTGTCCACAATTGAAAACAAAACAATCAATTTTACCATGGGTATAGCATTGTAAAAGTATGAAGTAGCAAATAAACAACATTAAAATAAATTTGAATGCTCCTTTAAAGGTTTTGTAGGACTATGAGAGCCATCTTGCACGTAAACCCCCCATTGGCATATTGAAATGTTAGCATTTATGCAAATCAGTAATATTTTTATGTAAGGGTGGATTGTATAATACAAAAGCTGGCAATAATGGACCACAATGCATACAAAATTTTGTTCGCATCAATTGAGAGTGCCAGCATGTCCTCTTTTTATTCAAAATATTGAATCGTAAACAAATATCAGTAGTTTTCATACCTCAGACTGATTCGTATAACAAAATTATTTATCCGCATCAACCAAAACTGACCATACTTGCACTAAATCATGCAAAATCTATATAGCCGCACAGTAATTCGGTTATATTTTAGGTCAGGAGGGACTGAATAATACAAATAACAGCAATATTGGAAATCAATGACTACAAAATTCTGTTCGCATCAATTTATAGTGCCAGCATGTTATCTTTTTATTCAAAATATTTAATGGTAAACAAATATCAGTAGTTTTCATACCTCAGACTGACTCGTATAACAAAATTATTTGTCCGCATTAACCAAAACTGACCATATTTGCACTTTATCAAGTAAATCTATATAGCTGCACAGTAAATCAGTTATATTTTTAGGTCAGGAGGGACTGTATATTACAAATTACACCAATATTAGAAAACAATAACTACAAATATTTTTTCGCATCAATTGAGAGTGCCAGCATGTCCTCTTTTTATTCAAAATATTAAATCGTAAACAAATATCAGTAGTTTTCATACCTCAGACTGACTCATTTAACAAAATTAATTTTCCGCATTAACCAAAACTGACCTTATTTCCTCTTTTTTATGTAAATCTTAAAGTGGCTTAGTAAATCAGTAATATTTTTATGTAAGGGTGCATTGTATAATACAAAAGCTGGCAATATTGGACCACAATGACTACAAAATTTTGTTCGCATCAATCGAGAGTGCCAGCATGTCCTCTTTTTATTCAAAATATTGAATCGTAAACAAATATCTGTAGTTTTCATATCTCAGACTGACTCGTATTACAAAATTATATTTATATTCAACCAAAACTGACCTTATTTGCTCTTTTTTATGTAAATCTTAAAGTGGCTTAGTAAATCCATACCTGCCAACTGTCACTTTTTGCGGGGGATTTCCCCCATGGAGGCTCCCAATTGGAAATTTTGAAAGAGCATTTTTGTCCACAATTTAAAACAAAACAATCAATTTTACCATGGGTATAGCATTGTAAAAGTATGAAGTAGCAAATAAACAACATTAAAATAAATTTGAATGCTCCTTTAAAGGTTTTGTAGGACTATGAGAGCCATCTTGCACGTAAACCCCCCATTGGCATATTGAAATGTTAGCATTTATGTAAATCAGTAATATTTTTATGTAAGGGTGGATTGTATAATACAAAAGCTGGCAATAATGGACCACAATGACTACAAAATTTTGTTCGCATCAATTGAGAGTGCCAGCATGTCCTCTTTTTATTCAAAATATTGAATCGTAAACAATTATCAGTAGTTTTCATACCTCAGACTGATTCGTATAACAAAATTATTTATCCGCATCAACCAAAACTGACCATACTTGCACTATATCATGCAAAATCTATATAGCCGCACAGTAATTCGGTTATATTTTAGGTCAGGAGGGACTGAATAATACAAATAACAGCAATATTGGAAATCAATGACTACAAAATTCTGTTCGCATCAATTTATAGTGCCAGCATGTTATCTTTTTATTCAAAATATTTAATCGTAAACAAATATCAGTAGTTTTCATACCTCGGACTGACTCGTATAACAAAATTATTTGTCCGCATTAACCAAAACTGACCATATTTGCACTTTATCAAGTAAATCTATATAGCTGCACAGTAAATCAGTTATATTTTTAGGTCAGGAGGGACTGTATATTACAAATTACACCAATATTAGAAAACAATAACTACAAATATTTTTTTGCATCAGTTGAGAGTGCCAGCATGTCCTCTTTTTATTCAAAATATTAAATCGTAAACAAATATCAGTAGTTTTCATACCTCAGACTGACTCATTTAACAAAATTATTTGTCCGCATCAACCAAAACTGACCTTATTTCCTCTTTTTTATGTAAATCTTAAAGTGGCTTAGTAAATCAGTAACATTTTTATGTAAGGGTGCATTGTATAATACAAAAGCTGGCAATATTGGACCACAATGACTACAAAATTTTGTTCGCATCAATCGAGAGTGCCAGCATGTCCTCTTTTTATTCAAAATATTGAATCGTAAACAAATATCAGTAGTTTTCATATCTCAGACTGACTCGTATTACAAAATTATATTTATATTCAACCAAAACTGACCTTATTTGCTCTTTTTTATGTAAATCTTAAAGTGGCTTAGTAAATCCATACCTGCAAACTGTCACTATTTGCGGGGGATTTCCCCCATGGAGGCTCCCAATTGGAAATTTTGAAAGAGCATTTTTGTCCACAATTTAAAACAAAACAATCAATTTCACCATGGGTATAGCATTGTAAAAGTATGAAGTAGCAAATAAACAACATTAAAATAAATTTGAATGCTCCTTTAAAGGTTTTGTAGGACTATGAGAGCCATCTTGCACGTAAACCCTCCATTGGCATATTGAAATGTTAGCATTTATGTAAATCAGTAATATTTTTATGTAAGGGTGGATTGTATAATACAAAAGCTGGCAATAATGGACCACAATGCATACATAATTTTGTTCGCATCAATTGAGAGTGCCAGCATGTCCTCTTTTTATTCAAAATATTGAATCGTAAACAAATATCAGTAGTTTTCATACCTCAGACTGATTCGTATAACAAAATTATTTATCCGCATCAACCAAAACTGACCATACTTGCACTATATCATGCAAAATCTATATAGCCGCACAGTAATTCGGTTATATTTTAGGTCAGGAGGGACTGAATAATACAAATAACAGCAATATTGGAAAACAATGACTACAAAATTCTGTTCGCATCAATTTATAGTGCCAGCATGTTATCTTTTTATTCAAAATATTTAATCTAAAACAAATATAAGTAGTTTTCATACCTCAGACTGACTCGTATAACAAAATTATTTGTCCGCATTAACCAAAACTGACCATATTTGCACTTTATCAAGTAAATCTATATAGCTGCACAGTAAATCTGTTATATTTTTAGGTCAGGAGGGACTGTATATTACAAATTACACCAATATTAGAAAACAATAACTACAAATATTTTTTTCGCATCAAATGAGAGTGCCAGCATGTCCTCTTTTTATTCAAAATATTAAATCGTAAACAAATATCAGTAGTTTTCATACCTCAGACTGACTCATTTAACAAAATTATTTATCCGCATCAACCAAAACTGACCTTATTTCCTCTTTTTTTTGTAAATCTTAAA